CACTTCTGAAACCCGAAAACTGAAAGAAATGTCAAAATGGGTTGATTTGAAACCTGTATTACAGATCGATGAACGCAGATTTGAGATGTTTGATCCTGATGGTCTGGTCACACAGGCACCTGATCAAAATCACATCCAGCATTTTTTTGTTGGGGGGGCAGCTTGGTCTACATGTTGGCGAGAAGTGATACAGGAGGAGTGGGATGAAACTACACCCAAGTACCTGGGGAAACTGACACCATTTAGGTTTCTTCATGCAACTGAAAAATTGAATAGAAGAGTTTAATAAAACAGTCTTTGTAATATTAATGTTTGTTTTTGATCAAGGTTTCAACCTTGAATGACATTCGAAAGTGAACATTTGTAGGGGTAGTTAGATTTTATAATATTATATTTAGAGTGTTGCCAAGAAAGTCAATGGCATTCGGAACATCAGTTATATCATCCTCCTCCAAAGCAATATTAACTTAGCCAATTTTGGCCTTTCCCTTTTTTCTACATCCTGGGATAGGCCTCTGTAGACCCCACCAAAGATCCTGATCAAAGATGGTTTGACCCAAAAATCCTAGTGGGGATTCTCCATGACAACCCCAATCCTTTCACATCCCACTTGAGCTGGCACCTTTAAAACAGAATAGCGGGATTTCATTCTTATACGGGAATGGAAAAGACATTCTGACAAATGTAAATCCTGGGAAGATAAGAAGCTGACAGAAATCTGAGAGGCGCCTTAGCCGTGTTTGCATCTGCATTCTGCTTGCACAATGCTCATATCAGCTCAGTTTAGGTAACAGGAAGGGCTTCTGGTCATTTCGATAGATGGTAAGCAGCTGAATTTGGCCCTACAGAGGAATCCTCAAGTGCACATATCTTAAACCAGGGGTCTCCAACTCCAGTCCTGGAGAGCTACTATCCAGTCGGATTTCAATCCTAACTGGCTTCTGATGAGCCACACCTGTTCTCAGGTAAATACCAGGGCCAGGTGTGGCTCATTAGAAGCCAAGTAGGATAGAAAACCTACTGGATAGTAGCTCTCCAGGACCGGAGTTGGAGACCCCTGTCTTAAACTGATCACAGGCAGTGGTGACATTTAAAAGATCAAGTAAATAGCTGCAGCTTGTCCACAGATTTAGTCAGATAAGTGTGTCCATGGTGCAAAATGTCAGGCAGAGTAAACTGTCAGGTTATGTTCCTCCACCAGCCTCATAGGGGTGCTGTGCCATCATCGAAAGGTCTATAGTAACAGATATGCCAAGCAATGAAGTCATCCCTGGTGCACCAGAGGGGCTAATGGTGAGGGGAACCTGCCAGTGAGCCAATGACCAAACAGTTGCGGGTGGAGGAAGTCGGGAGTGTCACTCTCTAATTACTTAGGCCCTTCATCAGGACCCAGCAGCATTCCTGACATAACACACTTAATGTCACAGCAGCTTGTGCCATCCTCACATAATGCCCCTCCTTTACCCGCCCCTCAGTTTTCACGCCATTACCCTCATCACCCCCAGTATTTTGGAGGCTCGAACATGTGGGGTGGGGGCATTTGAGCCATAAGGCCAGGAAATGACTCCAGAAAGGAGAAGACTGGATGGGATCAGAGCAAGTGAGAAGCACAACAGCTCCACACAAGGCAGAGCTGGCAAGAAAACAAAACACCGAATGAAAATGACATGGGTATGAAAGCAGGACTGGTATGGAGTGGCCAATGGTAGGCACAGCTGAGAGTAGTGATTTCATCTAGCCCAAAATCAGCATGAGAATCACAAAATGGCTACCGAAACAGGCTCGATTTATTAGCTTACACCAGTATCTCTCAACCTGGTCCTCTGGGATCCCTAGACATCCCACGTTTTTGCTCCCTGTTCACTCCCTGCCAGACAGTTCACATTTTTGCTCCCTCTCGGCAGACTGCCTGGGGGTCCCTGAGGCCTGGGTTGGGAAATACTGGCTTACACATATTGGGGGGGAAGCCAGAGGGGCTGTCCACACACGCCTCAGCACGCTAGCCCACAGCCACAGCACAAGCTGTCGTTTGCGGGGGGGGCATTTCAATGGAAAGAAACATTGCACACTGGGGGGTTTGATGAGCCACATGTCCATATCCCCTCCTGAAGTCACCCTCCTTAGCCAAGGCAGAATCTCAGCGCCAGCTGCACTATGGTAGTTTTAATAGAAAATAAAGCAGAGAAAAAAAAATACACTGCACTCACACTGCCAGTCTAAAAGCAACCATATAAAGGTGCACTAAATATCTCAGTATTGCAGCTCTAGCTATAATCCTGAGCACAACAGCTCAATTGCCTGGGGCACTGATGATGGAAGATATCAGGGAGAAGACCATCCCCATGCCCAGCCCAGCCTAGCCCAGATCCCTGTGCAAGACATAGCAACTCAAAACAAAGCTTCAGCTAATAATCCCTTGATCATATTTCATCAGGGCCTGTCAGGACGTGCGTGCAGAGTAGTAAATCATATGCATCTAGGACATCTTCCTGTTCAGCGATACAAAGCACTGAACTTGGAGCTCTCCTCACAGAGATTTTCAACGATTACTGCACAGCGGTTGTCATAGTTTTGTATACATTTTGTTATTCCTTTTTTGCGGTAGATTCTCATATTCAAGTGCCACAATTATGTAGCCTAGGCGAGAAGGTAATTAGAGACAAATTGCCCACGTCTCACTTATCTGGCAGCCTGCGTCTTTCAAAGGTCGATACGAACAATGAGCAATAGCGACACCTGCCGTTTTCATTAACCAACTACAGTTCAGACCGTCCTCCAGCAATACAAGCTTCATTTCCCGACTTCAGCCTTGCTACTTCAGCTAAAATCTACGTCGCATATATCATGTTCAGTAAACACAATATGAACACTTCCGAAATAATAAACTTATTTTCTGCAGTCCAAGGTTGTCAAGCGTCCATATACATGCTTTAAGAGACAATGAAGTAATTCCCAGGCCATTACACTCAGTTTACTTTGCCTTCTAATTAGCGCAGGATGAAACAGCAGCGGTACAGATTAATCCGTCACATTACAAGTTTAAAAGAAAAGTAAATTGTCAGAGCCCCTGGTTTCATACTTCTCTTTATTTAGGCTACATACAGTACGCCAAATGGTTTTGTGACCAGACCACACTGCTGCAGTCACATCCTACTCTGATATAACAAAGCTATGCGTAACACTATTTAAAGAACTAGCTTATCTGTATTTAAACTGCTAGGGGGGATTGTGCTACTGAATCTATAGACCTAAAATTGTTGTAGGAGGTTGGGGATCCTACAGCTGCTATAGGTGAAATGAAGGTAAACAATTTATTAGGGAGAGAGAGGTTTTCACTAGTGCAATACACAACTCAAGTGGCCAATGCCTGCAAAATGAGGCACATATTCTCAAAGGGCCATGCCATTGGATGAAAAATGCCATAACATCTGTTTATAAAGCTTTACTTATAAACAAACGAAAGGAATGAGTATGTTCAGAAAAGTCAAATGATAGAGAAACAGAAGGGAACCAACATGAAGTCGTTAAGCCCATCTGCCTGACATTAAGATTTGTGTTAATACCAAGCGGAGGGAGACTGAACTCTGTGGCACCTTGGCACCTTGGCATTTTAAACTCCACGCTGAAGTGGGGAGGACAGACATGGATGCAATCCTCACCAACCAGATCAATATTCATCTACATGAGGAAGCAGCGATTCAACTTTAGAACACTGATAAGACATACAGCAGAAACAGCTAATGAATTGAAATTGAATATTAAAACTAAAAGAAACAGGACAGTGTGGCCAGGAAGGCTGTACGGTCCCCTTTTTGGAAGTGGCACAACCAAGTTCCTCATATTTAAATCCTTAAACATGGGTAAAGTATCAGGAATCACCTACTTTCAAATTGGGCCATTTGTTGTCTCTCTGGAACAGAGTTCTCATCATGAACTCACTGTAGTGCAAGAATATATACCTAAAAGGAGGGGGGGGGGGGACACCACTCAAAATCAGCTAGCCCCACAGCCAAGTCCCCAGGTCAACAAGCCAAGTGCTAAGTGCTGAGGAAACATAGCACTTTCCACCGTCTTGGCCCTATGTGGATGCAGGAGGCAGGGTTGCACAGATGTCAAGCAGGAAGGTGTGGGATGGGTATGGTGGGATTGGGCTGGGGCTGCCAGCTTGGAATGAGAGACAGCTGTGACTGTCAGGTGCTCTTAATGACTGTCCGCATGCCATACCAATCAGGCACCACGTGCTACCATGCCGCATCTGTCTCCTGTGCCCAGTTCTTACAATCATTCAGTTGATTTGATCAAGCTCACAAGTGCAATTTTCTTTACACTTGCCTGATTTGCAGAGTTGTGCATACATGCACTTATATTGTACAGACAAGTCATTTAGACATTTTTATAGTGTTCTACCAAAAGTTATTTGCAATGTGCTTGAAAATACCAATATACCACACATCAGCATTTAAAGTTGAGTTTTACACAGCCCTCCATGAGGTATTTGTAGCTTTTGCAGATGAGACTATTCTAAATCACTTTGTTCCTTCTATTGCCTCGAACCAACTTTTAAAATACCTCTGGGTGTCACCTCCCATTTGGGAGATGATTTAAGGGTTAATTCTGAATCCTGATCAGTTTTAACAGACCATAACTAGAACTTCAGAGTAACCCAGCATAGCTTGGGTAAATATGCAATATCTTACCATGTGAAAGCCTATTGTTACTATAGCCCCCCCCAAGAATGCTGTAAACACTTGTATGAATTAACCACTTTATTAGCCAAATGGCTCATGGTCTTCACGGGGAAACACCTAGAATTAGTGGCACTATAATGCTCTTGGTTCCTATTCATGTACAGATCCATCAGTGGCCCAGCTACCAAATTAAAGCTGGCTTTTAAATGGAGGATGGGCCAGGCAAAAGGACACCACACCAATTTAGGAACCACTGAGGCACTCGACTTCATGCCAAGGAAGGTCTTCATTCACAGCACATGAACACAGAGGTCGTTCTTAAACATGTGCACTTTATTGGTTCATATTAGTCAGTGTACAAGGTTGGCCCCACCAAACATCTGGCACTGCCACTTTCTGTACGGCTATTATGTCTGCCCAGGGGATGTAAAACTTTACGATTTATAAAGGTAAAGCTTTGTTTTTGCATAACGAAGGACCGGGAATTTAAGGCTGAAGTACAAAAACCCAGAAAGACATTGTTTCCTGTTACATAATAACATATGCAATACAACAGTTTAAGTATGCTCCCAAGGGCTGGGCAGCCTTCATAGAGGCAAATAAGTGTCTGACCAATGCATTTAACATTAACATTTGGAATGACTAAAAGAAAAACAAAAGTCCAGACGCATTGCAGAACTTCGGGGATGCTCATTTGCCAAAAACATTGCCGTCACCTTCACCGTTCCAGTTTTTAAATCCTGAGTCAAGCGCCAAAAATAACAAAGCCATGCCAATGTCGATTCTGCTTTGATGCAGCAGTGAGTCGGCGTGTTGAAGTGGTAACAGTCCATTTAGAAGCATTTGCGGTGGACAATGGAGGGTCCAGACTCGTCGTACTCCTGCTTGCTGATCCACATCTGCTGGAAGGTGGACAGGGAGGCCAGGATGGAGCCACCAATCCAGACGGAGTACTTGCGCTCAGGTGGGGCGATGATCTGTGGGGGAACAGAAGCTAAAGCCAATGTGCCACTGGAAAATACCAAATGCCAGTGATACTTGAGGAACACCCACCTTGATTTTCATTGTGCTGGGAGCCAGGGATGTGATCTCCTTCTGCATCCTGTCTGCGATGCCAGGGTACATGGTGGTACCACCAGACAGCACAGTGTTGGCGTACAGGTCCTTACGGATGTCGACGTCACACTTCATGATGGAGTTGAATGTGGTCTCATGGATACCACACGATTCCATACCTGAAGGAGAGATGTCATTAGTCCAAACAAAACCACCTTGTCAAATACGAGACCTTCCTTCCAGGACACAAGACTTACCCAGGAAAGAGGGCTGGAACAGGGCCTCTGGGCACCTGAACCTCTCATTGCCAATGGTGATAACCTGCCCATCAGGCAGTTCGTAGCTCTTCTCCAGAGAAGAGGAGGAAGCAGCTGTGCCCATCTCCTGCTCAAAGTCAAGGGCAACGTAGCAGAGCTTCTCCTTGATGTCACGAACAATTTCCCTCTCAGCTGTGGTGGTGAAGCTGTAGCCTCTCTCGGTCAGGATCTTCATGAGGTAGTCTGTCAGGTCACGACCAGCCAGGTCCAGACGTAGGATGGCGTGAGGCAGGGCGTAACCCTCATAGATGGGCACGGTGTGGGTGACACCATCACCAGAGTCCATCACAATACCAGTGGTACGACCAGAGGCATACAGGGACAGCACTGCCTGGATGGCAACGTACATGGCTGGGGTGTTGAAGGTCTCAAACATGATCTGTA